GTTAAAACTTAGACTTATTTCGGTCAGTTCCTTTCTTGAATTATTTTTCACCCGTTTGTCAAGGGTTAACTCTATCTGCTCAACGTAGAAAGAAAGCTAACTTAACATTAAAACATCACTCCCAAGGAAATGAGTTAACAGATCATCATAGGGTTTTTTGATAGAAGATGCTGCTAATTTGAAGATTAAGACGTACAAGGGAAAATTTTCACTAACGCGAGTTTGTGGTAGCAGAAATGGCGCTATTTAAATCAAAAGCAGGCTCGCACTCAAACGTATCTTTTGGGAGGATATAGCTCAGAAAAGAAACCAGAAACAGGCTGTAGGAAGACGTAGGAGCAAATTTGAAAAAAAATTGACTAAAGGCAACATAATATATATATATAAACCACACACACGCAAACAGGGGAAGAAAAGAATGGAGCAGATACATCGAATTTTGGAAGAAATCGTGATCACAAATGCAAAATTAAATGTTGTTGAATGATTTGAAAGTTTATTGAACAAATGAGCGTCAAGTGCATGTTATTGCATTACATGTCATGTTACATATCTTGGACTAACTGACCTCGAATCATTTTGTCTCGTTATGCTATTCATTCAGCCTCTGGTTGAATGACACTAATATTTAAAGGAGGAAAAAACGTAAGGAAGTAACCTAAAAAATGTTTTCAGCTGTAAATCATGTATATTAATAAAAAAAAAGACAAACACTAGCTAATAATGGAATAAAATTGAGCTTGAATGTGTCATACTTCACGCGATCACCTATAAGTAGCGTTGGTAAATTTGTTTCTTCTCAAAACGAAATTTCACTAACGCTTTTCTAAAATTTTCTAAATAAAAGACAACGATTACTTATTACCACGCTGGCCGTTATATTGCGCGTGTGTGCGCGCGCACACTTTGAAGGCTCCTCGGTCATTTATCAAGCTGGGTAACACATTTCTTAATTACTCACGCGCCTCTTAAGTGGTACCTGAAACATATAATAAAGCCTACGGTTCTTTTTTTACCATTCACGGTCTTTATGCAGAGTACTTTAGCGAAAAATGAGTTGCGCTTAAAATGAAAAGCGCTCATAAAATTTGTTCCTTCTTAAAACGAAATTTCACTTACGCTTTTCATTGAAAATTTACCTATGCATTGCGTCTTTTTTGAGACTACTTTTGCCGGGTAATGCACTGCTTGATTACTAGTAAAATATTACATTAAAAATGAAAAACGCTCATAAAATTTGATCCTTCTTAAAACGAAATTTCACTTACGCTTTTCATTAAAGTTTATCACGCATTGCGTCAATTTTGAGACTTCTTTTCAATTCATCATGCCGGGTAAAACAATGCTTAATAACTTAAAATATTGATAGCCTTCATATGATGTTTCAAACAAAATTAAACTCACGCAATTCTTATACGGTAATTGAAACGTCAAATACTACGATTAGACCTATCACCACGCGTTTTAAACGTTCCTAGGTTAGAGAGTAACATTGCCAATAAAATACATTTTAGCGAATATTAATTTGTTCCTTCTTAAAACGAAATTTTATTCGCGCTTTCTTTGACAGTTACCTGGATAATGCGTTTACTCGAGACTACCTACTTCTTATTGATTTACTCGCAATATGGAGAACGAAGTTTTAGTCATGCGGCCCTTAAGAGGTTCCTGTTACATAAAGTTCAGCTTACGATTACTACCTGTTACCGAAGTGATTGGTACGTTCCGCATTTACAGAAAACTTTTCAGCTAATACATTACGTCTTTGAGAATAAAAAAACGCTCACGAAATTTGTTCCTTCTGAAAACGAAATTTCAATCGCGCTTTTATCATGTGGTTACTTAGACATATACATTTGTGGTTTTTCTGCGACTACCCTTTTTTGAGTAGGGTAATATGATTATTGTAAACTAATTCATAGCAGTCTTCCAAAAAATGCCAGTAGAAAACATGCCAGGTAATGTTTTGTATAAACAAATAATTTTTATTATCGGTTACTTTTTAAGCTGCCTCTGATGGATCATTCTTAATTCGATTTATTTTGACTCCCTTTTTTTTCATTACTTTTGAAATACAACGTCCTCATTGATTACCATGGTAACCGTGAATTCTCTATCAACCAAGTTTCTTAATGAACTTGAATCGAACCTCAGTCGAACATACTGTTTGTCGTTATACTAGTATGTCATCGTAATTATCATTTTTTTTACTGTAATTGGTCATCAAATTTTGCTTTCTCAGTCAGCAAAATTTGATCTAATTACGGTATCTGTAAAATCCATTCTTGTGAACTGTTATCTGCAGAAAAAGTAACAACAAATGATTAGTGCAGGCGTATGATATACTTAGTCAAACAAGAGAGTCGAAGCAAAGCTATTACCCCAACACGAACAACAAACCTTGCTACAACACTGAGAAGGCCAAACCCGTCAAAACTTCTAATTAAGAACTTACCAGGAAATAAATCCCTGAAGTGTGAGTATAACAGCTCTTTAGTCTTCTCCCTACTGTACAACTGCATTCTGGTCGGTGGAAATCATTCGGTTACTCCAAAACAGTCTGGTCTATCATCATAAGAAGTGACGATACGGCTTACACTGTGCTAATGTTTTTGGTTTTTTTTTTCCTCTTATCGTTACATGCTTGTTTGCTGGTTTTGGTTGTAATATTATAATGATTTTTGTTTATTGCCTAGTTTTTGGCTGTTTGTTTGTTTACTTTTTAATTTTTTTTTTTACTTAAAAACCCTACCGGTAACGCATGTATAATTGTACCTGTATACTTCCTGGTTCAAAATCTGTTCGCGGGTGAAAAATTGCTCAAGTTTTAATCT